CACACAATTTTTTTTTTTTTTCTTTCTTTCCCTTTATCAGGAAGAAATATAAATAGCTGCTAAAAAAAAGGAAATTGAAACTACCAAGCTCGGTGAAACCAGGCTCGATTTTCGCCTGGTGTAGCAAGGTACTAACAACCTCCTCCCGGCTCATGTAAAGCTGCAAACACCTTTCTATAAGGTTTTGAACCTGTAATCACCACAAAAGTAATCACCTTTCTATAAGGTTTTGAACCTGCAAACACCTTTCTATAAGGTTTTGAACCTGTAATCACCACAGATAGGGGTGAAAAACGAGCCGAGCTCGACTCAAGCCTTGGGCTCGAGCCTTTACTGAGCCGAGCTATTAACTAAATGAGCCGACAAACAAGCATGAGCACGGCTTGTTTGTGAATATTAATGAGCCAAGCTAAGTCGAGCCCACAAGCGGCTTGTTTCATTTAACCACTCTAAGTTCAACATTACCAACTACAAAGAACAACCTTTGGCTCCAAAAGCAAACTAGAATTGCTAAACTCATATAAAGCACTTCTAAACAGTAGAGTCTCCATATGAATCAAACTACAAACACATTCATACTCAGAAACAAAATCATCCCCTCCCAAAATTAATTTTCTAATATTCTGCTATCATCTTCTTGCAACAACATGAATAAACACCAACACTACAACAAAAACTTCTGCTAATAAACAAACCCCATAGACTTACCAACTGTATATCCTCCACTGATACCTTTCTGATATCTCCAGTCTCCATTTTCGCTGTTTTTCAGGAGACTTAACCCTCCTCGGCTCCTCTCAAGCTTCGATTTTTATACAAAAATAGAAATTAAAAAAATCAGCCATGATCGACCCAAGAAACTAACAGAGATATTCAACACGATAAAACAATTATCACAACGAATTTGAATATATAATCATTTATTCCACTGCAAATTCGTCTCGCATTCGAGCTGAGCTTCGTTTGAAATTTGGATTGAGGGGGGTCGTTGATTGCCAAACCAAGGTACAACCTCTATTGGGCAGCGTACTATATGCAGACTGCGTAGGGCCACTGTGCTCGGGAATTAATTCCGCCGCCCACCGAAGCCAATTAGTTTCATTCACTGTAAATGTACCACTGTTGCTGGAGAAGGTACAACTTCGTGATGCAAGTTCCGCATGTTTAGTCATACGGCTACGTGTTGGAAAATAAGTAGAACAGAGCCGAGCTCACGAACATATAGGTCTAGTGACCATTTTTCTTATTGGGCCGTCACCTTATAGATTTTAAGAGCACGATGGGCCTCTGATTCAATCAATACTAAGAAGTGCTGGCCCAGAAAGTAAGGTTTGCCGACCCATTGCCAAAATATTCGAATTGCCGAGCTCCTATCCAAAATTAATTTTCTAATATTCTGCTATCATCTTCTTGCAACAACATGAATAATCACTAACACTACAACATAAACTTCTGCTAATAACCAGTTCATGATAACTTGATCAAGAAAGTAAAATAAATGATAAATAATAAATTAAACCCCATAAATAAACAAACCCAAGAGACTTACCACCTGTATATACTGAAATAGCACAATGAGAGTAGCTCGGTGAACCGGATAGACGAAAGGCAGACCGAGCAGAAGCTAGCTCGACCTCACAATAGGGGGGAGCCAATAGCTCGGCCTTCGGGGTTAGTAAGAGCTCGGTCAAAGGGAAGTGCTCGGTTAAGGGTCAAGCGCTTATGTGCTCGGTTTAAAGGAAAGCGTAAATACCGAGCAGATCACTTAGCCACGAGGAGGAGTCCGTGGAATACCGAGCAGATGACTTAGCCACGAGGAGTAGTATGTGGAATACCGAGAAGATGACTTAGCCACTAGCAGGAGCCTATGGAGGACCGAGCTTTGGCGGCTTAAGGCCGAGGTCTGGCGAGCTCGGGTGCTGTTCAAAGAGGATGTCGGCTAAAGGCCGAGCTCTTAGAGCTCGGATGCGGTTCCAAAACTGTGACGGATTAAGGCCGAGCTATTACAAGCTAAGGTGTTTATATATTGGGTGAGGTGGCGTAAGGCCGAGCTCTTTATGAGCTTGGGCTCGGAGGCCGACCAGATAGGTGATGATTTTAGTCCGAGCTACCCCACGAACTCGGTGGCAGTCTACCCGCGTAATGACCTAAGCCCGAGCTCTTGATGAGCTCGGGTACCATTTGGTGCCGAGATGTAGTGGAACCAAGCTCTTCATGAGCTCGGGTACCATTCGATGACAAGATGTAGTGGAACCAAGCTCTTAATGAGCTCGGGTACCATTAGGTGACGAGATGAAATGGAATCGAGCTCCTAAGAAGCCCGATTATAAGATGGCTTAAGACCGAGCTGGTATAAGGTTGAGTTTCAAAGGGTATAATGGGTCTTAAGGGCGACAAGCTCATAACGTTCATGAGTAACCTAGCCATTTATACTTGGCGATATTTTAGTTCTATTGCAAGTAGAGTTGTTATGGAGTATAAACGAGCCATCGATTCTTAACACCATTGCACATAACTGTGAGTAGTCGAGCTACTTATGCATGGAAAATATGGAGTTCGCAATGAGACGAGCTACTTGTACTTAGCAAAAATTTGAATTCAATAAACACGAGTCCAAAATATGTAGCACCAAAGATGAACATCCCAAGAGCAAAGTCATAAAATACAACACATTTAGGTTGAGAAATTACGATAAGAGCTCGGCGACTTGGATATCTCAAACAAGTCTATCTAGTTCAACGACCAATAGCTCATTTGATAATTGGGGGAGGGGTAGATGATATGACACATAGTAATGAGCTCGATGTACCGGAGTGGATCTGCTCGGTTTAGGCAGTTGGGGCTAAGTCCGGAGTCCAATAGCATTAATAGCTTGGCTTCCACAATAGGATTATTAAGGGTTCGGCCTCATGTTAACAGCTTGGCTCTTAGTGGCTCGGCCAAATCGGAGTATAGTAGCGGCTCGACCTACTGTGTCGGTATTCATTATCAAACGAGTCTATTGAAGCTTTGATAGCAACAACACGTTTGATAATGAGGAGCTAGATAGAAGATGATACAGCACATAGAATTAACTCGTTGGACCGAACAGAAGTGGGCCCGATTCATGGGCCGGCGGTGGCTAGAGGGAATGAGTTAAGAGTAGTTTGATGTAGCAACAAGACCAAGAGCTCGGTATTAGCTATAGCTCGGTTAACCGAGGGTGAACTATTAGGAGGTCGCCATTAGAAACTGCTCGGCTGATGGCCAACACGGGGAAGGTTAAGAGCTCGTCATTGCCTCATTGGCAACGGTTCGGTTCATGGTAGAATGAATATTGTTAGGAACTCGTCGGGGGAGTAGCTCAGCTAGGGAGAGCTCATTCGGCATAAAATGAGCTTGGGAGAATCACAGCTTGGTTTGAGAACCAGAGCTAATATGATACATAAAACCAGCTTGGCTCAGGTGAGGTATCAACAGCTCGGCACTTTAGATGTCGCCAATACAGCTCGGCAATTCGGATTACCGGTTAGAAACATCGCAGCAAGAGCTCGGCATTTGGATATCTCAATACAGCTTGGCAATTTCCTTTTGTTATTTTCAAATGTTGCTCGGATAGAATATCATGAGGGGGGTTAGACAATTGCATTTTATTATCAAACAAGATTATTCGGTTTAAATGACAATAGCTCGTTTGATAATAAGGAGACTAGATGATATAGAGTAGCTCGGTGAACCGGACAGATGAAAGGCTTGAAACGCGGACCGAGCAGAAGCTAGCTCGACCTCAAATTCGTCTTGATTGCCAAACCAAGGTACAACCTCTATTGGGCAGGGTACTATATGCAGACTGCGTAGGGCACTGTGCTCGGGAATTAATTCCGCCGCCCATCCAAGCCAATTAGTTCCATTCACTGTAAATGTACCGCTGTTGCTGGAGAAGGTACAACTTCGTGATGCAAGTTCCGCATGTTTAGTCATACGGCTACGTGTTGGAAAAAAAGTACAACAGAGCCGATCTCACGAACATATAGGTCTAGTGACCAATTTTTCTTATTGGGCCGTCACCTTATAGATTTTAAGAGCACGATGGGCCTGTGATTCAATCAATACTAAGAAGTGCTGGCCCAGAAAGTAAGGTTTGCCGACCCATTGCCGCTATTTCCTACTATTTACATACAAATATTATAAATTTGTTTTGTTCTTTTGTTCTTTATTATTTTCAAACGAACATTTTTATTTATTTTTTTAATAATTAATCAAGCAGCCATCACGAGAGGAGAATAAATCTTTGGAACATTTACTAACATAGATTATTTTAATTGTTTATCTTATAGTATCATATTCACTGAAAACCATAAGCTCTCGCATCATTCCATTGTACGTTACGAAACTGGACTCATATTTAACTTATCATGGGCATTTTTTAATCAGAAGTTTCAACTTTTGACCCGCAAATGAACAATACCTATTTATTACGAAGGATGTAAATATTTATAACACGATTTTATACTTCAACTAACTATTGATATTACAAAACATGTGAAGGCATGGTAAAACTTTCTCGTTAAAGTGTTTTATTAGAATCGAGGGAAGAGAGTGCGGTCCCATCAAGTGAAACACAATATAAGAAGGTAAGTCTAAATGCACCTTAGTGAGGTTCCATCTCAAAACCAAATGATGATATGAGGAGTAGTCTACTAGATTTATATACTATGCTCATTTTCCTGATAGAATCAATGTGAGACAACTCACAAGTAGAGCTGTAAACGAGCCGAGCCGAGTCGAGCTCGGTTCGTTAGATAAACGAGCCTGAAATCGAGCTCGAGCCTTAACGAGCCGATCTCGAGCTTTAACCAGCCGAACTATAAAAAATATATAAAAAATCTATTTTGGACCTTTAACGAGTCTTATCGAGCCGAGCCGAACCAAACTCGTTTAATTTAACAGCTCTACTCACAAGTGATATTTTAACGTGTTTAGATCGTGGTTTTTTTTTACCTATTTTTGTTCCTTTTTTTTTTTTACTGCTTCTCATGCATGACACCCCCTTTTTTCTCCTATATGTAACCTAAAACATACAAAGTTACCAACAAAAGAGAAAGATATATAAGAAAGAAGATTACAATAGGAAAATACTAAAAAAATAGACTATGCATAGGGGTAACTAATAATTGGACACTACAGTGAGCCCATTGTATCTGGGCCTTGGTGTGTCTGTTGACAGCCCATCATCAATGGACTTCCTTTTGTTGTTTGCAACATTATTATTATTATTATTATCATCAACATTTGTTTGTGGTGTTTGTTCCAACTGTTGTAATTGGATTTGTATTGGCATATTTGCTGTGATTTCATCTTCTTCTTCTTCTTTATTATTGTTTTCTTCTTTTCCCACATTTTCAGGCTTTATCACATTATTTTGTTGGGCTTTGGTTCTCAACATATAGGGCCACAATTTGTTCACATCTGTTAACTTCATTGGCTTCAGAAAAAATTCCTCTGCCCCTTCTTCCAAGCATCTGTACACACATAAATAAATAAATAAATAAATAAATAAATAAAATAAATTGTTTTTGATTACCAAAACCCCATCATTAAACTTACATTCACTCATTAAGTCTATTGCTTGGAAGTGACGTGAACAAAAGTATGACATTTTATAATCACAGATTCTTATGTGAGTCAGCCTAATCGTCGGACAGGTCTACTCGTCGTGCATTTTAAATAAAAATGCATATTTATGTTATACATTAATGTCATAATATATGTTTTATTGTTATAAAAGATGGAGTTAATTCATTTTCCACTTATAGTGGGCATTTTTTTTTTTTTTTAGTATTGAATTAAAATTTATTTTTTTACTAGGAAAAATATGAATTAAAATGAGTAAAAATGTATTTTTTTTTTTTATTTATTTATAATTAATTTACCTGGTGATCCTTGATGGCACATTCTCAGAGGACACAATAACCACAGGAATATTTTTCAGAGATGAAGATTCCTGTCAATTTACAAAAGTTAGACAAAAATAAATTTATTAAAGATGATGTTTTGTAGGTAGATGCATGAACATTTATTATTATTATTATTATTATTATTATTATTATTATTATTATTATTATTATTATTATTATACCTTCATTTTCTTGAGCAAATCATAGCCTGTCATACCAGGCATACAGTAATCTGTTATTACAAGGTTGACTTCCACTTCCTGTTTAAAAAAAAAAAAAA